TTGAGTGCAATGAAGTTATTGTCTAAACACAATATAGCAGCTCCCACTTTAAAGATAAGACCAGGGCAGGGTCGGACTTGTCTTGAATGTTAATTGTCAGCAAATATTGCTTATTTGTACATATTTTTCATTTTATTCTGTGTTACCTACCTCTTTATTATAAAACCATTTTGTAAAGGAAGAACTAGTGAGAAAGGCAATGAAAATTAAAGAACACAGTATTATACAGGCTGTTACAAATTCGCTTCTCACTACAGGGATCTCGGAAACGGTAAGAGGTACAAAGTAGCTTAAATGGGGGCAAAGTTGCGTAATCAGGGGACCAACATTATGCCTCTAAAAATCAAGGCTAACATGATTAGTTTTCGAAATATTTGAAAAAACCCAAACAGTTTCTCATGGTCACTTTTTGCCCTCTATCGAATGGCATAATCAATTTTTGTATGTAACGTTTCGTCTCCAGAACCATCATCAACTTCATTTTTTTAAATATGACCTTAGAAATTTTATTACATTTTTTGCAAGCCTTCATGGCCCCCAATACTGTACTGCCTCCGCCCGAACCAGATTCAGACGTTTTCTCTCGAAAAAGAATAATTATAAATATTAATTTTGTGTTTGATATCAATCGCGCTTCGGAGCATCGAATAATTCGCCAACTCACTTGACTTAACATTTGACATTTGTAGCCATTTCCTTAAAATAAGTCAGGAAAATTGGCTAGGAAAAGTTCATTTTTCTTTCTCATCGCTATCCTTATTTGGTGTATGCAGCTTCATATTTTGGTCGCGATTTGTCGGGAAATAAATTATCTACGACCTCCTTCGCTGTTTCAAGTACCTTCAATGGTGTAGAGTCATTATTTGTTTCTGGATGACTTTCTGGTACAATTGCAGGACTTCTGTTTTCACAGAATTTAATTTCTTTACTCTCTGATTTTTGTTCAGCTTATGTTGACAAATAACTGGGCGTGTTCTTTTATTCAACGATGGATGAAAGCGCTTAATTTACGCAAACTGTCAAATGACGTCAACAATGAATTTCCGATGCTCAGCAGATGTGTTGAATTAAAATACGGACCGATGAACCGATTGTCAACATTGGTTTTTCTTAGGTTATGTGGTGTTTCATTCAATTTTTAGTGTTCGAATATGGAGTTAATTTTTGTAAAATCGATAAAGTTAATATTAGATTCGTCATCTGAGGAAAGCCTAAGTGAGTCTGATAACTCTGACGACTCTGAAGAATTAGAGTTGTTCTATCTAAATAAAGAACAGCTTAAGATACATTTGGACCGTTCTTATATTCAACACTTTGACAATCGGTAAGTCATCGAGTACATCGTATCAAATCTCGGATGGATAGAATGAAATATGGATGAATAATAATAAAAGAGGTTATGTTGTTACTAACTGGCATAAGCTGTAATCACGAATATACTTTGTGGCTGTAATCCTTGTAAATAAATTAATAAATATGGAAAATCAATCAGAGCATGGAAGAATAATTACTGAATATTTAACATATAACGGTCTTACGTTTCCGGTAAATGTCGATTATGAAACGTACACAGAAATAGTAACTGGTAAGTCCAATATTTCCTATAAAAATTGTTTGTGGTTTACGTACTTATAAATGTAATATAATGTCCCTGAAGTTAAAAGTACTTGTATTGTAGGTGATATAATTTATAACTTAAAATAACTTTTCAGATTCTAATATCAGAGAGAGCTATGCAAAGCAATTGTATCAACAAATATATGGAAATGGTAAGTAGATAGTTTCATGTTATTTCTGCAACTTATGTTCATTTTATATGATATTTTAGTTAGCCAAGAAAATAACTCGTGCACACCTGTATCTGATAATAAAAGTACGTTGCAGTTACAGAATGATAAAGATTTTAAATGGAGTGATAAATTAATTCGCTGTTTATTGCAGAGTAGATTAAGTAAAGAGAAAGAGTTTTCTCGACCAACTTGCAAAAAAATTAAATTATGGCGACAAATTGCTGACGAAATGAATAAAACTTGTGGTATAAACCTTAGTGGAGCTACTTGCGATATAAAATATCGTAATTTGTTGGCCACTTATAGAAAAAATAAACAAAAAAGAAATTCGACAGGGGAAAGTCCCATAAAATGGGAATACTTTGATGTAATGGACGAGGTACTTGGTGCAAAGGCATCAAGTTGTCCACCAAAACAGAATATATCTGACAGTATGGAACTGGAACATGATAATGAAGTAGAAACAAATATTTCTGAACAAGAAAACGTAGATTTTACTATAGATGAATTAGAAACGACAAAACAGAGTGAATCAAAAGAAAAATCAATAAAAAAGAAAAAAACAGGGGTTTCCTTCCAATCTTATTTATATACGAAATTAAAAAATGAGGAAAAACTAGAAAGAGACAAGAAAGTTAAGGAAGAGGAAAAACAAAGAAAAGACCAAGAAAGATGGGAAGAAAAGATGAAATTGAAAGAAAAAGAAATCGAAGCAATATTAACATTGGCAAAAGCTATAGCTGAGAAAAAATAAATACACAGTCAGTATAGGCGAGATGTTACATCAGAAAGATATTTATTTAAGGTCATTATTCAGAGAATTTTTTTCCTAAAGCATTTAATTACTAAGTTTCAATAAATAGATATTCTTCCTTAAGTAATGAATGTATGTATCGCCTGTACATGAATGTAAATGTAAAATGTATTCACCTTATTTTATTTCTTTGAGCAAAAAATACACCAAAGAATCGGCTGTTACTTTATTGGTAAGAATTGTTTATTTATTTTTAGGAACATAAGATACAATTATTTTGGTTTATTATTGTAGAAATCTTATGTAAAACTTGTTAGTTATGCTAATAAAACACATGTTGAAATTATAGTTATTTATTCATACATAATCAGATTTATACAATTCTATTCATAATAGCCATGCGATAATCTACAGCATCATTATCAGGTGCAATATGATCTATTTCTACATTATCGGTATTATCAATGTTTATATTTTCATCATCACAAGAGTACCATACATTATCAGTAATAGATATGTTGTGCAGAATGCAACTAGCAGTAATTAAATATTTAATATAGGTTAAATTTACTACATTTAAATATTTTAGCCGACGAAATAATCCTTTTAATCTACCAAAGGCCTCCTCGATGATTACTCGGGTACTACTTAGTTTTTGATTAAATTTTCTTTGTTGAACTGTTAGATGCCCATTGTCGCGAAAGGGAACTATTAAAAATTTTCTTAAAGGATACGCACTATCTCCAAGACGAAGACAACGACACACACACACACATACACACCCCCATACCCTCCTTACCCCTCCCCTCCCGCGCTAGC